CGGACGGACGCCAGGAGGTATAACATAATATGCCCGAAATAAATTCTTTCGGGCATATAATAAATAATATACTCATCATGTTTTTGCTATTTTTTGTCCGATTTCGGGTAATTTTTCACAAATAGAATAGCTTTTCTGGAAAATTGAATCAAGCTTATGATCTAAAAGTTTTCACATAAGTTGTTGGTATAGAACTACATGAAATTGAGTAATTATCTCGAAAAATTATTTTCAGTACCGTTATGTAAAAAAATCAATTGAGTTAAAGATATTGGTGTTCCCATTTATTTCCTTAGTTAGACCTTTTTCTATCATTCTAGATAGTTTTCAAAAAAAAAATCAACAAAAAGTTGTTTTTTATTTATCATTTTTTCAAACAAAATGGCGAAAGAAGTCCCTTAAAATAAATATGAGTTAATTGACTCCGCCCACTTTCTTATTTATATTTCATATTTATTTTTAAAAAAATATGAAATATATTTGACTGATATAGCACCATATTTCATGGGTAAAATTAAATAATTCTCAATATCCCCTTTCACTTAATCGGAGATTTGCATAATTGATTCCCTTGGAAATTTGTACAGTATTGACTTATCAACTCCTCGTCAGTAGAGACGTCAAGCGCCTGTGACCTGTTCCCCGGCGCAGAGGCCTCCATCTTTGAAACACTACCATGAACGCTGCCATGTTTTATTTTGGAGTGGTCTTGACATAGGGCAATCTTAAGATACCTTTAAAACACTCCTAGACTTAGGACTGTTTTTGGTCATTAATATAGGAGTCAAAAGTTAGGACCTTTTTGAAGACTTTCTTTGAAACGCAAAATTGTCTCAATTTTTATCTTAGGACCGATTTAAGACTCTCCATGAAAAGCAGCCTGTATAATTTCTTTCCAAAAGTAAAACTTTACAGTAAATCATACCTCTAACAATATCTTCTGGCAGTAACCAAATTGTCTCCTAAAGGGTGGTTGCTATACAGAGGTTGTAATTTACTTACAATTAATATATATTTAATGTCCTCTTCATCTTTATATAAAAACTATTTTTTTCTGCAGCATAACATCATTTGAAAGAACATATATAATACACATAATTTAAATACAGGAAATAAGTGTATTCAATATCAGCTGTTGTGCTTAGTGTGAAGTTTTTGATTTTGGTTGATTTTAAATGATAAATTGGTTGATTTTAAATGATTAATTATCAACAAAATGTTTCATTTTTCTGTTAAGAATGTGATATTATAAATCTTATTACATGCCCATTCAATATTTTTTATAATTTTGATGAAACATTTCTCAGAAACACAGAAATAAATATGTTAAATAATGAGCAATTATCATATTATTGCAAGCAATACCAAAGTCCTCTACTGGTTAGCACCCCAGCAACATTTGAACGGTCAAGGCCTATGTGCTTATGTGTTAACATTTTTCTATTTTAATTAAATTTGTTTGAAAAGTTACAAGTTCTTTAATATAATCGAAGATAGTTTTTTGGGATGGCCAGACAGACAGACAAATAGACTTAAGGCAAATTTTTTAATATCCCTGGTTGTTAACACTTATAAAAAAAGCAAAATTCTTACACCAAAGAGGAAATAACTGAGCCGCGCCACAACAAAACCAACATAATGCGTTTGCGACCAGCATGGATCCTGACCAGCCTGCACATCTGCACAGTCTGAGCAGGATCCATGCTGTTCGCCATCAGTTTCTCTACTTGTTATAGGGTTTGTAAGCGAACAGAGCATGGATCCTGATCAGACTGCGCAGGCTGGTCTGGATCCTTGCTGGTCGCAAACGCATTATGTATGTTTTGTCGTGACGTGGCTCAACTATTGAAATAAAGATGCTAGACTTATGAACATCGTCATACATGATTGCAAGTGGGTGACAAACAGCAATTATCAAGTAGAAACCATTTATAGAATCAAAGAAGAAAAATGAAAAAATATAACAATTTTCAAATATATAAAAGTTAAGTTTATTACTTGTAACATAGTACTCTGTGCCAAAATACAACACGACATTGCAATTGAAAATACAATATACCATTAATAGTAACAAAGAAGAAAATTTTAAAAAAAAATCAAACAATTTTCAAATAAGTTCAAAATGAAAATTTAAGGATGATAACTCTGACATTATAAAGGTGCTAGAATAATGGACCTAATGTCAAATATGAAGTGGGTGATGATAAGAAACATATATTTAAAGTTTAACGTAGATATGCTAAGAAATAAAGAAGTTGATAAAGAACGTTTTTTTTTTATGAAAGTTGTAAGTTCAAGGGGGATAAATCTAATAAATTTGGTGCTAGAGTTGTGAACCATGACATGCAAAATCTCCGTAAGGTCATGATGCCATTTTTTCATATTTTAAGTGTCATATAAATGTTTTCAGTACTTTTGAGTAATACCAAATTTTGTTATATTTGCCATATTTTAAGTCTATTTGTTGCCATAGCAGCTAAATTTTTCAACATAGGAAGAAAAGAAGATGTTCATAATTTCCAGACTGCCATTTACCCATATTTCAAGCTTCATTAAAGTATTTTCAGTACTTTTTGCATCACCCAGGGATCCAGTTTGGTGGACGGACGGACATACAGAAGGTAAACCTAGTCACCTCTGGTTTAACCAAAAGGAACTAACATTAATATTTATGTATCAAATAAACTTAAAATTACAAATACGAAATTATAGAAATGATAAATTTTTAAAAATGTGTTAAAAACACTTGACATTTCAAACTTTTTACACTTAGCCCATTTTCTCAACCTTTATCAAAATGTTTCAATTTTTGTATTGGCCCCATTTTCCTTATGTTACTGCTGCCCTGTGGTAGAATATAATTTGGCAGAGGATGATCTTATAACAAGAACCTGATAAAATAATGAATGTTTAATTAATCTTTTATTAAAACTGCCCAAGTTGATGGTCTTCACCAGTCATAAACAATGTCTTAATTGGTTCTATTATATCTTTTTTCAATTTTGAACTATTAAACATGCCCCTTCTACCCTCCCCCGCACCCACACAACCGAAAATCCGGGCCAAAGAATAAAATGTTTAATGTAACAATAAATTCACAGGAGATCCTCTTTTAAAATATTAACAACTTGTCCAAAAAGCTCAGTCCTGTAAAATAAAAAATTTTTTTTTTAATTCATAAGAAAAAATGTCTTTGGGAGAATTAAATTTTAACACATTTTTACTTAAAAATTTGTATAGGAATTTTGAAATAAAATTTTTTGCTCTCAAAACATGACACAAAAATATTAAAAAAATTTAAAGCCCCAAATTCAAAAAAGTGTGGGGGGAAATGGGTTTTTTCAAAAAAACCCTTTTTTCCCTTCCATTTAAAGTGATCAACAAAATTTTTTTGATAATTGTCTTAAGAATTTCCAAAGGTTTTTTGGGTAATTTTGGGGGAAAAAATCTATAGTAAAGGGGAACAAAGGGTTTTTTCTTTGTAGGGTAGTGTCTAAATAGATTTTTTGGTTTAATTTTTAAAATTTCAAAAATACTTAGGAACGGGAAAGGGTATTGGGGGGTGATACTTTAACTTTTACAGGGTTAAATTTTTGTTAGCCCCATTTGAAAAAAATTTTTATCATCCAATTGAAATTTTTAAAATGTTTTCCCCTATTATAAATCGCGTTTAAAAAAAAGGGAAAAAAAAATATAGAAAAGGAAAACATCAAAATTTTTACTCTTTTTAAATAGTGTCTAAAATTTAAAAAGAAATTATTTCTTAAAAAGGGCTACCTCGGATAATATGAAATGATATTAAGATAATTGTGAGAAACATTTTTAAAAGCCGTTACAGGATAGGAAATATGAGACGCAATTTGCTGTCCCACTTCCGAGTTCCTTTTAATAGAATATACATGAAAAAGAAATAATTATAAATATTTTACTTTTAGGCTCTAAAACAGACCCCTGCTTAATATTTTACTTATATCTTTAAAAATGTTTTTTGCAAGCCTAAACCCCTGTAAAATACTGTGTCTATCCTTAAAGCAGCTTGCCTCCAGATTTATGCCAATTTCCATGAAAATGTATTTCAAAGTAAACATTATTAACCCTTTACGTCATATATACGCGAAACAACGCACTTTCGACCCCCCCCCCCCCACTCCTTCTTATAGGCCTCAAATAGTGAAAAAATGTCCTATTTGAGCCCCAAACACATGTTTTCGTTTGAGAAATGTTGCTAAAAAAAGTGAGCACTTTTTCTGCGCCACCCCCCCATTCAAAAGATTCTTCAGGGGGTTGCCAGAAGGGGGATGTGCCGTTTGGGGGGTTTGAACGGGGGCGGTAGTCCCCCTCATCACCAAGAAAATTTTGGACTTGTGAGAGGCTAAAAAATGACCCCAGGTCGATCAAAAGGTAACGTGTAACCAATGCTGAAAAGCCTTTGACTCTCTTTCTATCCATTGAGAAGTTGCAGCACTTTGAAATAAATTTTGATGGAAAAATCAAAGCAAAATAGTGATTTTGGGCAATTTTGAGACCTCCCCTCATTGCCATGGTAACAGCAAATTTAAGACTGAGCATGTCGTTACAAAGGCAATGGTCCAGTCAACATTTGTGCCAAGTTTGATTAGTATTGAAGAATTTTTCATTGTTTCATAGCAGTTTGAACTTGTAACAAGAGGCTTTTCAATGAAAACGGCCATTTTTCACAATATGCTCATGGGGGAAAGGGTTAAGTGGACAAAGAGTTCAGACACTTACAATTCATGTAAATTACCAAAAAAAAAGGTCAAAATATGCAAAAATAACTCTTAATGCTGCAATGAAATATGGTGATAATTACAATGAAATCAGTTGTTAATTGCACACATGTAAATTATTACCTGAATCTTGATGCTTTTACTTTTCTAAAAATTGTACTGAAAGCTTGATTTTAATGAAAAATACCGACTCATTTGGAGGCAGGTAGCTTTAAATATCAATTCAGAGTAAGGCAAATGCTGACATATATTATTTTCAATACCATTTATAAGAATATCATTTTTCATAATTGATTCTGATTCCAAGATATTCATGAAAAAGATGACATGAACACAAAGATTATTTTTACACTACAAATTTTAGCCTTGATATTAAATTCACTCACAGAAAAGATGATTTAAATATGACGGCAAAATTGTCAAAGATAATCTAGCCGTCCTTGAAATGAATCTAGAGCCATCTTTACTGGTAACATTTTCATTTGTAAACTGAGGTTTTTTGACGTGAAGGGCCCAAAAATATTTTTTCAAGATTTTTGTACACCGTAACTAGATGTGTCACTACATTTTCCAGAAATAATCAGTTTTATTGTGCAAATTGGCCCAAAAATTGAAAACCGTTGCAATGCTTTTCACTCAAATCCGCCAAAAATGGCATAAAAAATTGATTATGTGCAGGCTGGTCTGGATCCATGCTGGTCGCAAACGCACTCTGTTGGTTTTGTCATGATGCGGCTCAATTGGTGCGAATAAGCAATGTACTTTGTAACTCCACTGAGGTCCAATAGCCTAAAATAATAAATTATGACCAACTGATACACTTAAATTTGAAACCAAGCAATAGATAATATATAAATACACACAGTATTGAATTGATAATAGTAAGTAAGTAAGTAAGTAACGACTTTATTTAATGAGGCTAACACATTCGGTTTCCCGATCTTCCATGCGGGCCTCAGCATATACATAGCATATACATAACAATATATACATTACACATTTACACATTTATCGGCGCAGTCTGATCAGGATCCATGCTGTTCGCTATCAGTTTCTCTACTTATAATAGGGTTGGTAAGCGAACAGCATGGATCCTGATCAGACTGCGCGGATGGGCAGGCTGGTCTGGATCCATGCTGGTCGCAAACCCATTATGTTGGTTTTGTCATGACGCGGCTCCATTAAAGTACAATTCCTGGAACTCATCCAGTACTCACTGGGTGCCAAGTTTTTATCTTTCTGGATTTAACTCCGCCTTTAATAAAGGTAGTCATACTGTAATGCATACTTGCCCAAACTCTTTAACATCGGCCATTATATTGTAAACAAGAGGGCCATGATGGCCCTGAGGTCGCTCACCTGTATATAGGCCCCCTGGAGTGGGGCCAGTTTAAACCCCAGGGCTTTTATTTTAACAAACTTGGAAGACACCCATTAGAAGATGTTTCATGATGTTAAGTTTTAACTACACACATATAATGAAAAATAATTATTCCCCCCCCCCCAACAGGGCAAATTTTAACCCAAGGGCTTTTATTTGAACAAACTTGGTAGACACCCATAAGAAGAATAAACATCTAAGCTCTAGCTCATTGGGTTTTTTAAAAGAAGATTTTTTTAAGTTTACTTTACACATATAGTTTAAAAACAATGACACCCAGGGGCGGGGCCAGTTTTGACCCCAGGGCTTTAATTTGAACAAACTTTGTAGACACTTGCTAGAAGATGTTTCATGCTTAATATCTAAACTCTAGCTATTTGGGTTTTTTCAAGGAAGATTTTTAAGTTTTTGCTATACACATATAAGGAAAATCAATGACCCCCGGGGCAGGGCCAATTTTGACCCCAGGGCTTTTAACTGAACAAACTTTGTAGACACTTACTAGAAGCTCTTTCATGCTTAATATCTAAACTCGAGCTATTTGGGTTTTTTCAAAGAAGATATTTTAAGTTTTTGCTATACACATATAAGGACCCCATAGGGCGGGGCCAATTTTGACCCCAGGGCTTTTATTTGAACAAACTTGGTAGACACCCATTTGAACATGTTTCATGCTAAATATCTTAGCTCTAGCTCGTTGAGTTCTTAAAAAGAAGATTTTTTAAGTTTTTACTATATGCATATAGTGAAAATCAATGACCCCCTGGGGCGGGCCAATTTTGACCCTAGGGCTTTTTCTTTGAACAAACTTGGAAGACACTCATAAGAAGATGTTTCATGCTAAAAATCTTAGCTCTAGCTCTTTGGGTTCTTTAACATAAGAATTTTTAAGTTTTTACTATATGCATATAGGGAAAATCAATGACCCCCTGGGGCGGGGCCAATTTTGACCCTAGGGCTTTTATTTGAACAAACTTGGTAGACACCCATTAGAACATGTTTCATGCTAAATATCTTAGCTCTAGCTCTTTGGGTTTTTTAAAAGAAATTTTTTTAAGTTTACTATAATTATGCATATAGGGAAAATCAATGACCCCCTAGGGCGGGGCCAATTTTGACCCCAGGGCTTTTATTTGAACAAACTTGGTAGACACCCAATAGAACATGTTTCATGCTTAATATCTAAGCTCTAGCTATTTGAGTTCTTTCAAAGAAGATTTTCAAAGTTTTTACTATATACATATAGGGAAAATCAATGACCCCCTGGGGCGGGGCCAATTTTGACCCCAGGGCTTTTATTTGAACAAACTTGGTAGACACTCACTAGAAGATATTTCATGCCAAATATCTAAGCTGTAGCTCTTTGGGTTTTTTATAAGAAGATATTTAAAGTTTTTTCTTTCGGTTGCCATGGCAACCAGAGTTCTGCATGGAATTAAATTCTTTGAACAATTTTTAAAGGTGACCACCAAAGGAACATTCCTGTGAAGTTTGGATGAAATTGGCCAAGTGGTTTATGAGGAGATGTCATTTAAAGTAAAAGTTTACGGACGGACAGACGCCGGACGAAAAGTGATCACAAAAGCTCACCCTGTCACTTTGTGACAGGTGAGCTAAAAATCAATCATTTCAGGAATGATATTTTTCACAATCTTCGGTGTTCATTATTTTTTAACCATTAATAATCAGAATTTAGTACATAGTTATACAGGATGAGCGCTTGTTGATAACCTATTGCCAGAAATAAATTTCTGGAAATAATCCATTTGCTAAGATAATGTTAGAATATTTTTCTCTCTAATGAGCTAGGCAAGCAGACGGACTTGGTGTCAACAAAATAAACATGGTCATGAACATTTGTGGGTCAAATTTATTTATATGCATTTTCAAATGAAATGATTTTGGTGTGTATGTTGATACACAACAAAATTTGTTGTAAAAACATGTTCAATATTTTTTTTTTTAATTTTGCTTACATAAACTTGCCTTTCTTAAGAGAATCAGATAAATTTACAGCTAATCTTTGCTACCATATTACATCCACTTTATTAATCGTGGTCAGATCTACAAATGTAAAAAAGAACATAACAAGGAACATCGCAATGCGATGCAACCAGGTTTTCAGCAAAATATTTCACAGAAGCTTTGTCATGAAGGGGCATTTGTTTTTAATTGAATTTTTAGGAGGAATTATGGCTTTTTTAATATTCCTCAAACAAAAATGATTGAGAAATTTTATTTTGTCTATTCGCCTTTTTCCCCCAAATGTTTTAGAAAGGTAAACAGTACTTTATTTTTGCTTAATTTTTGAAGTTGCGCACTGTAGAAATTGTTCACTATATATTCTGTATAAGGAAAAAATATACAAAGGGCCATAATTCGGTCAAATATTATCCAATCACAAAACCCCGACAATATGTGCCAGGCACTTGATAACAAAGCTTCTAAGAAAGTTTGGTCAAAATCCGTTGAGAAATGTAGGAGGAGTTGCGCACAGAAGAAATTGTTCACTATATATTCTGTATAAGGAAAAAATATACAAAGGGCCATAATTCGGTCAAATATTATCCAATCACAAAACCCCGACAATATGTGCCAGGCACTTGATAAACAAAGCTTCTAAGAAAGTTTGGTCAAAATCCGTTGAGAAATGTAGGAGGAGTTGCGCACAGAAGAAATTGTTCACTATATATTCTATATAAGGAAAAAAAAAACAAAGGGCCATAATTAGGTCAAATATATACCAATTGCAAAAACCCTGGCAATATGCGTCAGGGCACTTGATGACAAAGCTTCTGAGAAAGTTTGGTCAAAATCCGTTGAGAAATGTAGGAGGAGTTGCGCACAGAAGAAATTGTTCACTATATATTCTGTATAAGGATAAAAAACAAAGGGCCATAATTAGGTCAAATATACACCAATTGCAAAACCCTGGCGATATGTGTCAGGGCACTTGATGACAAAGCTTCTGTGAAAGTTTGGTCAAAATCCGTTGAGAAATGTAGGAGGAGTTGCA